AGAGCATACTGCAGTGAACTGTACGTGCGCAAAGAGTGGGAATTAGTCATAGCGCTATAGTTACTTGTAGCTTCGACGTCTAAGTGTTCAATTAAATCCAATTACCAATTCAAAACTAGTCTCTAGTCACTCAATCACGTGAAAATGTAGAAAAAGGTTTTGGGATTAATTAATTGCCTACTTTCCTTTAATTACTTCTTGATTATTTCACACGAGTACGGACCGTACAGGAGATACCATGTCCAACAATCCTATTATTAAGTGTGTATTAGTTGTCGCGGGAAAATACTTACCGAGTCATTGCCTAGCAATAGCAGTCTCTTCTGGCTTCAATATTCCGGCTTTCAGGCATTAGAAGGGTGGCACAGACACACAGACAGTAAGCAAGGTAATCTCATAAGTCTTCTTTCATTTTTTGAAAATAAGGAACTTTTTTATTGCTAGTGGTGTGGAACTAAGTCCCTTGTACTGCGGCCACTTCTGGCCTATTGTACCAGCCCCAGATGATAGGTGAGGGTGATTGTGGAGCAATTGGTGGAATGAAGATTGGCAGGGGAAACCGAAGTACTCGGAGAAAACCTGCCACAATGCCACATTGTCCACCACAAATTCCACTTGACCAGACCCGGGATCGAACCAGGGCCGCCGCGGTGGGAAGCCAGCGACTAACCGCTTGAGCTCTGGGGCGACCAAATAAGGAACTTAGGGTAATACATAACACTGGAATTTTTTCATTATCAATACGGCAATATTGCGTGCCTGTGAGCTTGATCGGTTTGAATGTAGTGCTGCCTAGGGTTTCAGAATTGTTGGTTTTATTTCATACCCTGTTTTGCAAGAAGACGGAAATATAACCAATTTTACTGTGAATAAACAAGGAAAATGAACGTAATCTATCAGAATATTTTTAATATTGTTTCAAATATGATGTTTCTGTGCATATTTCAGCTCTGGAACTATTTAACAGACTTCGACGAAATCATGTACAGAAGTTTCATATTAGACGCAACTGGAGTGAATGTTGCTTGACATTCAGATGAAAGAGACGTTATCCGTTTACTCAAAATCCATTCATGGTATAGAATATTTGCAAATAACATACAACATAAATCTCATTAAGATAAATAAGTCTATATGCATATTAGGCATTCTCGACGAATTTTGTTTTTAGCAAAATATAAGAAGACATGTTTGTATGCCGTATAATTTTATCCTCGAACCAATGGATTTTCGTCGGTATAAAATTGGTATGAAAGGCAGAGGGATATGTAACGTCTTTAAGAAAATATATGCAAAATATTTGTGTTTTATTATTAGAAAGTTTTGACTGTTTTTATAGTTTATTAACATATGTTGTTATACAATGAATTCAAAAGGACGAAAAAGTTGCCGTAGCCTAATTTAAAGTACCATCCAGTATTTGGCTGGAGGAACTGAGGAAAACAATGAAAGAATCAATAAATATAGCCGGTGTCCCGGCCGAGATTCGAACTAGGAATTTCCAGAATTAGATTCAGAAGCGTTTAACGCTCGAGACAATTTGTACTGTTACAATATATTTTTTTAATTTTTTAGATTTAGTAGATTTTTAATGATGTTTACTTTGTGCCAGCAGCCGCAACCCAGTACGATCTATTCTATCGGGGCAGTTTTGTCGCTTAGATAGCGAGTCTCTTTAGTGTCACGATGCCCAGTGCATTAACTGCTTCCAGTATCTCGTGACAAAGCGGGCGGAAGTGGAGCTGTGAACATCTACTGCCATAGCGTGCTATTAGTACATTAACACACATAAATGTTTATTACGAAATATATAACTGTATAAAATTGTTATTTATAATATTACTTATATCATAAAACACAGCAAGTTGAAACTCCCACAAAGGACATTGCAACTACAGCGAATGGCTGCCCTGCATTATGCGAGTTTCAGGTCCCAATTGCCCGCTGAGTGACACCTGGGAAGGGTCAACTGACCGGTAGACAGGACTCGTTACTCATGGTAGGCAACTTGTCTAAGGGGAGGAAATCCTGAAGAAAAACTGTGCCCCTCGTAGATATTGGGTTTTGCAACAGGCTGGTAACCTGCTCAAGTAAAAGATTCACATAATCCTTAGAAATTCTTCATATTTGGAAACGGAACGGACTAACAAGTTCAGTTATACAGATTATTATTATTATTATTATTATTATTATTATTATCATTATCATTATCATCATCATCATCATCATCATCTGTATGTTGTATTATGATGTACCACCATATATATTGTCAATTTAAAGCTTATCTGAGGGCGTGTCGTTATCAGATAGTGTCAAATAGTTGCGTCATTAGAAAGTTACGAGATTCTATTTTCAGCATATTGTGGAGTATAGACTCGTTGCAGGGCAAAGAACTTGAAACAAACGGCAACAGTGTAGTAAACACGCCACTACAACAATAGAGTTACTGTTGGAAACCGTGTTATTCAATCCGTTGCTAGGCAGCTGCAACAATTGAACAACAACAATGGAAACGGGGGTGTTTTCTGTTTGATACGCGCATCGGAGTTGGGGTGATCCAGTAAAATCCCGTACGGAGGAGGGATCGAATACCTCCACCGCAATCTGAGACAATAAAATACTGCCCCGAGTGCCTCGGGACTCGGATCCGAGAATGACTGCAGTGGCGAGGGCCAGCAGCAACTGTAAACGACAGACCAGTCCTCTTGTCAGAGAGAGCGCCCCACATCAACAGCAGCAACAGCTCACAACGACTAAACCGCAGCATTCCTCTGACTAACTCACTGATTCACCAACCAACCAACTTCACTAATAGACTGCAACAGAGTCAGAGTCAGAGTTACTTTAAGACAGATTATGTACCGCCAATCAATTCGTCTTTGCAACAAGCCCCTTGATATCCACGACCAGAATTTTTATTTCCTAACTGAACACTTGCGGTTATAGTCCTTATGTAACATCCTCTCTGACTAGAGGATGGGTCTGGCAATTACATTTGCTGCTGGTCCTCGCCAGCGTCGTCATTCTCAGGTCAGATTGTATATCCCCCAGGAACTGGGTGACCCGGTTATACTCTCAGGCACTGAGTTCCTTTTTCTTCGATCCTCTCTGACGAGAGCTGGCTCTTCTTATAACATTACGGTACAGACTGCGTAGAAAACACCGTTCCTCTGTTACAATGAAATTTTTGCCGTGAAAAAATACTTGTTTGCAGAGCCGTTACTAAGCATGTGTCTACATGCCGCAGTATGTAGCCTAGTAATGAAAAATTGATTAATTCTCTTGAAAATTAAGTTACGGAATACACACTATTCAGTCATATTGTAGTGTGTAGCTGTTACTATGCAACGAACCGCGAGACAGTCAAATAAGCAACGGTGTTATGCAACAGGTTTCTGGGAAACAGCTCGGTAAACACGTTCCCGGTGCAATGAATACGCAAGCAATAACATCAGAAAGGCGTTTTCTATGTGGTCCGTGCTGAGAAGTTATAATCAGGATAGCTGCAGCAATCAGTTCAGTTTAAGTGACTAGACTGCCGTGATAGCAAATACTACTAAAAATAGGGCCTAGACCGACGGAGGCCCTATACATATTTTACAGTATATACAAGATATACATACTAGATATTAAGACTCAGTTGTAAATAAGTGTACATAGTGACAATGGACTAATACTATCAACTAGGACTGACAAATGACAGAGCCGACCTCTCGTTAGAGAGGGCGCTCCACATGGACAGGACAGTAACTCTAATTTTAAAAGTAACATCTGGCCATGAGCCCCAGCCGGGCCTCGACACCAACACAGACTGACTGACCGTCAGTCGTAATGTGACTATGACTTTGACAATAAGTTCAGGTCCGTGTGGAGGCGGGTTCGAATACCTCTACCGTGACCCTGCGAGTCGTAGAAGGCGACGAAATGTGAAGTCTCAAATTTGAGACAGTAATGTATGGTCTCGGACCCGAGAAAGACTACGCCGTCAAGGAACAGCAGCATATACAAAATACAGACCCGTATTTTCGTCAGAGAGGACGCCCACAAAAAACAAGACCTCAACTGTCAAACAGAAATAAGGATAGGGTCGCAAGCCCCAGATGTGTGCTTTATGCCAAGACAGACCGGCCGACTGACCGTCGGTCGTAACATGAGACTCGGGCTCAATCAGTTCAGAGTTGAGTTCTGCAAGGTAGGTTGAGAAGAGATGGCGTTATAATTCAGTTGACATTTCGGTTGTGGAGTATTAACCAGCTGGCAACGGCGTGACCAAAGAAGCTGAAAAACCTCCGTTACTAAGATCCGTTACCAGGAAAAGACTAATGAACGCAGACTGAGAGAATTAGCGTGCGCACTAGAGATCTGTAAAATGTGTAGATCACTGGCAGCAGCGTTGTAAGTGCTTGTAGTTCTGAGTCTTGTTTATAAGTGGTCAATAGATCTATTCATCAATTGATACCGCGTCTATAAACATACCTAAATCGTGACAATATTGGTATATTTCATCTAAAGTGAATATACAGAAATACTGGGTTTTCGGACTTTATCCATTGTCCTGGTTTTTAAGATAACTAAGAAAAAACACGACGTTTCGGAAACTGGATCTGTTTCCGTCCTCAGGTGAGGGAAAACACCTATTCTGTTGGGTCCCTTAGAAAGAGCTAGCCTCAATCACTGGACGGTGGATAAAGTCCGCAAACCCAATATCTCTGTGTGTTATACACCATCGTCAGAATCCTATAGTAACTACTTAAAGTAAATATGTTTAGGGAAGAAATCGAAATGCCACAAATAGCTTTAAAATATGCTGTGGATTATTTTTCATAAAATGATAGGAAAATTGCAATTCGGTGTAAAATTCAGTGAAAGAAACTGGTTACTTGAACTGGCGAAGAACGGCAATGTTGCGAGATTACCAGTTGCAGCGAATGCAGTAGAAATATTGATCTATTAGACTGATATCAACGAATAGTAATGTCAATTATTGATTTTTTTTTCAGGCGCTGTCACAATCCTCTCAGCAAGCATGTTGTTTCACTGGACGTTGCTGGCATTCTTACCATGTGTGGTAACTTCAGCTTCCGTGGGCGAATTATTGTTATCAAGAACTTCTGAAAAATATGTATCGCCTGATGAAGACTCTTTTCCCAGTGCGTCTAGCAGTCGGAGTTTAATACCAAGCATTGAGCGTCTTCAAAGACGTGAATATCAAACAAATTTAGATGAAGATTTTGTCAACGATGAACCAACTTACCAATATTTGGAAGAAGATATGGGTAAGGGAAATTTGTTAAGCACACTTCAGGCATTTACTGCCCGGAGGCCTAACTTGAAACAAGATGCTTTCACGGTAAAACCAAAGGGCAGACCATCACTCAGGTTACGGCGAGACACATTCAGTTTTGAACCTAAAGAGCCATCTGAAAACTTCCGTCGTCACAAGGCCGCTTTCAGCCTTTCAGCTGAAGAATCAGAAATGGCAGCGGAACCTCGTGTAAAAAGAGAAACTTTGTCGCCAGCGCTGGACGACGTGGACGAGAACTCTACTCACTGGAGGCGGTTTGATAACCCGAAACATCAGTTCGTGACGTCTCGAAACCAACCGACGACAGGGACAAGAAATTATTACTTAGGTGTTCCACAACATAGGGCAGGACACACAGTTGATGAGAACGACGTCCGTAGCGCGAAGTACAACGAGATACCTCTCCAGCAGAGAGATCCTGCCAGGTACGCTAATGCTCATGTCCGAGAACCTGTTGCCTACCGGCACGAGGGAGAGCCCCCCAGAAGGATTATCTACTACGCGAATCTTCCTGAAATAACTCGAGGCAGGCCTGTACATGATTACCGACGTGATAGACTAGGATATGATGATCGGTATGATTACGGTAGGTCCTACAATAAGTACCCTAGAGAGAGCCGATATGAGGGCACTCATGTAAGGTCACCGACTGGAAGAGACGGTCCATATCCTTATCGCCAAACCGGTAACGCGGGCAACAGTTACTCTATCATCGATGCAGAAAGGCCTCCGCCACAAAACGCGTGGCCACCACCTCAGCAATACGCATACCGCGATCCCGATGTTGTGAGCCGATCCAACAGGATCCCTGCACCCTATCAACAACCACAGGCGGGAGGGAGACAAGCTTATGATCAGCGCCGTGGACCTCCACTTCCTCCACCTCTGCCTCTACCCGATGACGGACCTAACGCAGCGCTTCACCCGTCACGCTACAACCAGTTTGGGCACACCGGAAGTCTGCCCCGTCATCAGCTGACTGTCATGCCTTCAAATCCTGCGGTGGGAGACGAACCATATCGAGACTACAACCCTCGGCAGCCAGCACCCTGGTCCATGCAGATAGGCACCAAGCTCACGGTGAAGGACGATGGCCGGCAGTTGCCATCTCCGGGAGGCAAGCGCTTTTATGTGCACAGCGAAGAGCAATACCCATCACGATTTCTGAGGTCTGACATCGATCCAGACATGCATCCCACTACTTTCTGAGGTCTCGCTTCAGAACACAGCTGAGTGGTTTTAATCTACAGAACTGCTCCTATATGATTCGTAGGGTATGGTGTGACATTTTTTGTCGTAGATCCAAAGAATTAGTTCCAAACTTTCTTTTAACTCTACACGACTTCCATAATTCGCCTTCTGTTTTCATACCTTCAGCCGATCTTAACCGGAGATCGCCCTTTTGTTTTCATACCTTCAGCCGATCTTAACTGGAGATCGCCTTTTGTTTTCATACCTTCACCCTATCTTATCCGGAGATCGTCTTTTTTTTTCATACCTTCAGCCGATCTTATCCGGAGATCGTCTTTTGTTTTCATACCTTCAGCCTATCTTATCCGGAGATCGCCTTTTGTTTTCATACCTTCACCCTATCTTATCCGGAGATCGCCTTTTGTTTTCATACCTTCAGCCGATCTTATCCGGAGATCACCTTTTGTAACGTGTTTGAAAGAAAAATATACTTCTTTGAAAACCAAAACTATCATTTTCACTGAACTGCAATTTCAAATTTAATTTCACTTTTAAGGTCTAATTTTCATAGCTTTCGCTTTATTTTGAACAAAAGCTAGCACATTACAAATGAACAGCTGAAATATCGTTCAATGAAAATTTGCCGATATGATGAGCTGAGTATATAACCTTACTTCATAAATCTAAAGTTTATTGAACTTAAAAATTGTTATATATTAAAATGTAAAGTATTTAAACTCAGTTGATATAAAAGCTTCATGTGGTCCAAAAAATATCCTCACATGTAGGAACTGCATTAGATATTCATACAACATTGAAAACTCTCCACTATCCAGTTTTCTATTCAGCTTCTGTTTAATTGAAACCCATTTAGGAGCCGGGATAGCGCAGTCGATATAGCGATGGCTACGGTCTGGAAGTAAAGCACAGGGAAGTTTTACCTTTTTAGAGGACCCCCTTAAAATATCTGTCGGAAATATATAACATTGTAGTATGAAATTAAAAAGATAGACATTTTGCACGATACTAAATACATGGAATGATGGCATTGGTTTGTGAACTATTCTTTATGCAATCACTGCACTACTAATACTTACAGCTGCTTCCAATCTATAGCTTCGGTAAGAATTAATATTTTAATTTATATATTTCTGTTACATACATTTTAATATTTAGCATAAATTCTCAAAGTCACCATGCCGTTATAATATTTCCATAGATGAAATTACAAATTTAACTGAAAACTCGATGTTCATGCTTGGTTGAATTGTCAAGAATAGAATTGGCTCGTTTTGTGTATTACCAAGCTATTAACATATGAACATTTTTAATGTCGGAATTTGTCTACATTAAAAGTGCTTATAGTAGTTATTAACAAAGAACTAAAAAAATATTCAATATATATTTAAGTTAGTTCTCATTAATTTAATATATTGGCAAGGTTTTCGTCCAGTATTTTACAATTTAGATTACACTGAATTTAAAGAAATAGACTTTTAAAACGAATTTATTAAGAGAGTGAGAGAGTTATTGGTTCCTCATAGAATACATTTCGGTATTTCCATGGATCTGCTACAGATTGACAATGATTCAGTTATATTCATTGTTTAAATTTGTTCTGGTGTTTAATGTCAGAATATTCATTAACAGAAATTGTGACACATGAAGGCAAACATTTCTAATTCCAACCGAAGGACTTATTTCATATTACTTATATTCGACATTATTCATGCATGTTGTGTCCTGATCAAATAATATGTTTTGAACAATTCAACACACGAAAGAATGACGTAATTCATAAACAGTGAACTCAAACTTACAAGTTCAAATTCAGTCCTTTGTAAATTAGAAATCTTGGTAGAAGTTAAGAAAAAATTTCTTATATAATGTGGGCTGTGTATACATAAATTAGGCTGAATCTTATTTTCTTTAATTTTTAAAAATATTTTTGTATGTTCTTAGAAGTGCACAATTTTTATTATTTATGAATGCATACACAGTGTTCAAGTATACAGATTTAGATTTTAATTTTAATTCTTTTTTAAGAGTAGGTGTAGGTTAATATACAATATAAAATGGGATAATACAGAACATGTTTCAGTATCGCTGAACTTATAATAGGTGTTTGGAAAAGTGTGCTCTCCAAAAATTATTCTTATATTATTTGCAACATGTTTATTTTTATCAAAGAGATACTTCAATTTCTTAACACCTATTTCATATGTGGATTGGCGTTACTGTATACAAAATTGATCATTTATTGAATATTTAATGTGATAGTAATGATTGCAACTAATCATAATGTGTATTGTTTATTTTTGAATAAATGATCTTTTATGATTTTTAAGAACATGCTAAAATATATGAACTAGTTAATACTTCAATATACATTTTCAGATAAAGTGAAGTTCACATGCATCCACAACAATGCACAATGCACAATGATATTTCACATTGTTAATATCAGCCGGAACGTACTGACCGGCTTTAGAGAGGTGGGAAATCAGGGCAGATCAATACTCGGAGATTGGAAACAGAGACCAGTACAATTATAAAGTTAAATTTATTATTGGCTTCACTGGATAGATTTTGCCTTATAGTATATATAGAAGATCTCAACGGCACAGAACAAAATGTTGTTCAGTTCTCATAAAAAAGTAACTAGTGAAATCAACGGTTTTCCTTCTTGCTGAAGACACTGGAGCTGAAAAAGAGATTCCTTTTTGTTCGAGGAAAATAAATTCTATCCCAATTTCGAAAGAACAAATTAAAAATTAATTTAATAAAATGCAACAGACTATTTAAGATTTTTGTTCGTAGGCCAACTTGAATATGGACTTCCAAAAGGCTTGATTAAGAAGCCAAAGAAATGTCATAATTAACACAGCAAAGAATCTAATCGTGTCAGATATAAAATAAAGTCTATCTTCTGGAATATAACGCCGTTTATTCTGGTAGAATTTCACTGAATTTGGTGGTTTCTTCTTCTATTCTCCGACCCTGAATATGGAGGCAATATATTTCTCAGAAATATCTGTGGGCTTCTGCCGGACCACAAGGGGTCAAATCCCAAAGATGGTACTCATCATAACCAAATGCAACATCAAGTATATATATATATTTACAAGACTTCTTGGAAGAAATAATCGCTACTTTCCTTTGATACGACACGGACTGCAAAGAAAACGAAAAAATAAGAGATACATAGGCAGTAAGGTGATCTCATAAGCCTCTTAAAAATTGGAAGAGATACACAAAGAGGCAGCTAGAAAAGAGTCGTTCAAAAGAAAAGTAGGCGACTTCTTTTCCCGAGAATTTTCAGTTCAAGGTAAAGTAAAGAAGGTTAAAACTGTTTCATATATTAATTCTTAAACACAATAGAGTGGGGGACATGAGCTGGATTCACGGAGCTAGAGACAGAGACAGAGACATGTGTCGGGCTGTAGCGAACGCAATAATGAAACTTAGGATATTACAAAACGCTAAGAATTTCTTTACTAATGAGTAACTATTAACTTCTCAAGAGGACTTCATGAAGACAATTCCGAAAACATAAGAGGAAGAGTCAGCAAGTAGGTCACAATTGGATATAAAACGTAAAACATGAGATATTCGAAACTGGGAAAAAATATTTATTTCTCGGCATATCTTCTACCAACATTGATACACTTGTCCCATCGCTTTACTAGTGGTCGAAACCCGCAGCACAAAAGACTTTTGACTGTTGACTCAGCCACTTCCGCACCTCCGTTTCAACCTCTTCGTCATCAACGCGAATTTGCTACACAGCTGTGAACCGTTCTACGAGACAAACACTTCACATCGTAAACAGGAAATATTTCTTTATGAACACCCTTTGCATTGGGTCCTCTTGCCCACAGAAAAAGCACAACAGCAGGCAGCTCTGCGGTAGTACACTCTTAGTACGGTCACTACTACAGTGACTACTGAACCCAGCCTCTGAATATGCGCATTTCCGTATGCTACCTAGACTGTCACGATGCTAGATTGTGCTGCTACCTAGTGATACATATAGAGAACCTATTACACCCATTACAGCTGTTTTACGTCCACTTGTGATCTATTTACTGACTCTCCCTTAAAATGCAATCTTCGTGTATTTGTATTTGTCTAGTACGTGAAACGCCGGTCTTCAGAAGAAAATGAAAAAATGTCAGAATGCCTGTCTCGCTGAGATAACTCCCAATCTCAAAGTACTTGGACTGATCTTCATGAAACATGGTAACACATAACGCCGTTGGAATCCCTCTGAAGGCTTTCCACCTTTCTCATTCCATTACTACCGACAAGGAGCCAGTACGGAGTAAATTCTTTTGCTCAATTAATGATGTTTATAAAATGCTGCATCTATAACAACCATCCATTCTACGACGTGGAGAAGAGGAAATTCTTGACTTTACTAGGGACTCGAACTCCGACCCCTCGATTGTCCAGCCCGTAACCAGGCGCTATACCGACTGAGCTATCCCGGCAGAGATTGCAATGGTATAAATGTCGAAATACTGTGGAAAGGAAACGCAGTACAAAATCAGTTATTCTTTTTAACATCTCCGCAAATATTTCGAAACACGTTTCCTTTATTTTGTAAATACATCCTATATTTTACAACTTGGCTAACTTGTAACAAAGGAATCTAGGCCACGTAGTCTACAAAAGGTACACAGGCTGTCCATCTTGCAACTTCCCCTGTCAGGTCCGCAGCACACTTAACGAGTGCCAATTGACATGCGTGCAGAATTGTGACGAGACTAACCGGTACTCTGAGAGGTGCGTTCCAATCGAATTTGTTAGGCGTTCCTCACAAAGCAAAGATAACAGAACGCGTCTGTTTATCCGTCTGTGACACAGTGTCAGGGCCTACATCGTTGCACAGATTTTCATGAAGATTAATATGTGTGACTTTCACTGAAAGTTTTTGGGAAATTACCGTATTTAAGCATGTATAGGCCGCAGCACAATTTTCAGACAGAAATTATAGAAAAAATAATTTTCTTGGAATATTATTTCAGGAGTATTACACCCTGTATTACTAATTATGAATATATATTTTTTTAAATGAAGTATGATTTCGAATATTTCGAATATAAGCCGCACCCCAGTTTTCCTCTTGAATTTCTGGCAAAAAATGTGCGGCCTATACATGCGTAAATACGGTAATATCTTCAGCCACATTAATCCATATTTTGTGCGGATTATTTTACGAAGCTGCTAGGTTTCAGACGATATGGCTTCAACTGAAGGACGATAGCGAATGATGAATTGGTGAGGATTTGGAAAAAAAAAATAAATTTTAACCTAGTCCAGATATCCCATTACGCTCATCGATAGGCTAAAGAAACCACGAAATGTCTCAGTAAGGATAGGCGGAGTCCCGGTCGAGATTCGAACATAGTACCTCCCGAATAAAAATCCGTTACCGTTATATCAACCTATGTCCTAGTGTACATAAGACCATAGATGTATTTTTTCATATATCTCGTTTCTGGGTGCGTTCACAATTCTTTGGAGTGACTATTAATTTCGCTCTCAGTCCGCCCGTCCGTGAGCATGGGATTCGAGAACTCTGAAGGATTTGTATTAAATTTCATATTTGGGAATCATTTTACAACCTCAATTTAATTTATATCGGACATAATTAACGACGACTTTACATGAGGATAAACACGTTTTCACACGTCACTCTGTATAATTTCTTTGGGGTGGGGTGTTGAAATGTCTCGAAAAAAGTTGAAGATGGAAATAGTTTACACCTTTAACCTTCAATATATTTCTCCGTTAGTCTTTAGGTTTTCGAGTGAATTGAATTAACGTGATGTTATGAGCCCATTCTCAGTCTTTCATAGTCATCAACCATAAGCTCCGGAACACAATCGCGATATCGGGAGAATAACGCAAATAAATCATTGATTTATTTTAGACATCTTTACTTACTTACTTACTCACGGAGCTGAGCCCTTCTAGTGGAGTCGCCAATTCTGCAGCTATTCAAGAATTTCCCAGCATTTTATGGAACTCGAAGGTTCATTACCGTGTCCACAAGAGCCCTCCACTGGTCCCTATTCTGAGCCAGAATAATCCAGTCCATCCAATCTCTCTAAGATCCATTATAATATTGTCCACCCACCTGCGCCTTAGTCTTCCCAGTGGTCTCTTTCCTTCTGGTTTTCCTACCAATGTCCTATATGAATTCCTCGTCTCCCCTTTCGCGCTACATGCCCTGCACATCTCATCCTCCTTGAATTGATCCTTCTAATTATACTGTACTTGGAGAAGAGTACAAGTTATGCAGCTCACTTTAGATGTCTTTAAAATCAGAAATTGTATTCTTTTAACACGATGCTCTTATACAATACGACTTTGAAGCGCATATTACAAGTTCATACTTTACCTAAACCTTCCAGCCGCACTATGGTCCTGGTGTTGACTCGGCCTCTAACAGAAATGAGTACCAGGAATCTTCCTGGGAGTAAAGGACAGCCGGCGCGTAAGGATGACAACCTCACCACCATCTGTGAGCCCATTGCCAAGAAAATGTAAGAGCCTCGAAGTCTCACAACCCTATGAACCTCCACGGCCTGGTACAGGGATAGCTTTTACTTTGTTTATATTGTTAGGTAATAACCGCAAGATAAGCAAATATACAGCAGTCGTTGCTAAGTAACGCCTTTACAAACAAACATGTTTCAACGGCAAAAATTGCAAAGTAGTAATGGAACGGCGTTTTCTGCGCGGTCCGTGCTGAGGCCCTATAAGCAGCATAGTTAGCGAAAGTTAGTTGAGTTTGTTGGTTGGTGATTGACTGAGTTAGTCAGTCAGTTAGTGAGTTAGTTAGAAAACTTCTGTGGTGCAGTTGTGGAGAGCTGTTGCTATGAGAAGCTGGTAGACGAGGCACAGGGATATTTCGGGAACCCAGAGGAAGGAGAACATCCGCCGTTGCAGCCGCTACCAAGCAACGACTAATAGAGACGTGACTGTGAACACTAATGCGTATGTATAACAGCGAATGTTAAAGTGTATTCACGCGCTATATCAAAGAGTTCAATAAATCGATTACAAATCCAGACACAGGCTGTAAACAATCACGTGACAATGTATGTAATTTCCATTTAGACTTTGTAATTAGACTTAATTAGCCTTAATACTCATTGATTATTCTTTCGTAGACTGTGATTGGGGCGACTTCCAAATTTGAGTAAAATATTGCCAACTAGCAGTGAATAGCTGAACACGAATTTAATATTAGGTTATTTTGAGGGAAG